TGTTTATTCAGTGGAAAATTCAGTAGAAACACTGTTGGATTTACTTCAGATGTACAGGGAAAGAGCTGGGGACAAAACTTCAGAAAAAAGTGGTAGCATTTTTACCAAGACATGCTGCTTATTTGCTCATGTCTCAAAGGACTCAAGAAGAGCTTCTGTAAGTTTTCTTTCTTAACTTTTTGTGTCTTCATTCTGTAGGAGTTGCCAAAGTATATATTCAAATATAAATATATTAAAAAATTGGAATGCAAGTTGTTTTTCTTTGTTTGGGCCTACATGCCAAAAAATAGCTAGAACTAGCCTTCAGATTCAGATACAGAAACTAGTACTTAAGAGGTAGCAGTGTAGTTGCTGGAGGTTTTTTTAAAAACAGATATTTTAGAACTGAATAGTGAGCAAATATTCCTACTTGCTCTCTCCCACAGTGAAATTGGTTGTTTTAAACTAAAATGTATTTTCTGAGTGGGCAAAATAACATAAGTTCACTGCTATGATTATTTCACATATATCTGGCCAACTAATACTTGCTTATATATAATGGTTTCATATAGGATACAGCTGATTCATCTTAAGTACAGCTAATCTTCATTTAGCAACCACAATTGGGACTGACAACTTGGTTGTTAACCAAAGCAGTTGCTAAGTGAAAACATGACTGTGCTTATGGTCTTACTTCAGCTTTCAGACCTGTGAAGTTTGTAAAGGTGAGGGCGGGTAATGTGAATTGGTTGTAAGGTTGTAAATGTGAGGGCTATCATTTCATTGACTGTAAGTCTTCAAGCACTAAATGAGGCAGTCACTAAATTAGGACTATCATATAGTTAAAAGCAAATCTTGAATATTAGATTCTAACAATGGGATTTGCTTCTCTTAGCTATGCTGACATTTTAAATGTACTAAGGGAGACAGGAAGTTATTTCTTTGTGGAGGGGTCTATGATAATTAGCCATAGCCAACTCACCATGGCCAACTTGCTACAAGACAACTCACCACGGCCATCTCGCCACTGAACAACTCTGGGACAAGAGTTACACTAATATCAAAGAAATGGTGGCATAAAATCATTAAAGAAATGATGCAAAAGGAGGGACAGAGTGAAATGTTGAATGACAAAAATTAAAATATTTTTATTTATTTTAACTAATTAAATAGAATTGTTAAATTGTCCTGCAGCAAGTTGGCCCATGGCAAGTTGGCTGTGGTAAATTGGCTGCAGCAAGTTGGCTGTGGCAAGTTGTCCTATTCTCTCCTTGGGGAATATAGTTCTTTGCCGTTTTTAGTACATAGATTATAAATCAGGTTGATTGGATCCCACAACATTTAACAGCCTTTAAAAGTAGAACTTAGTTCAAACTATTCATAAATGGTAGACCATACTACTTTATGGGATATATTTTTTTTTGAGAAACTACTAGCTCTCCCTGTTCTATACAATTCTACTGTATGTTTTAACAAAATATGTCTTATTTTAAGTGTTTGAATTTGTCCTTTTCTGTAGAGTGAATCCTGAATTTTGTAAAATATAGCCTGAGACTAGCTTTAAAATGAAGTACTTGGTGTAAATGAGGCATACCAAGATTATAGAAAGAACATTGGTCCAATTGAAAATTTGAAAGGATTTTCAAAGATATACAGCTGTGAGATTTCATTGAACAAAATACTATATTTTAACAACAGTGGCTTATTTTTTAGGAGATTCGAAACAATCATAAAACAGTTGCTAGCCTTCGGAGATTGTTTAGACTTACAGCCCGTAAACATCAAATGGATGTCCAAAGAATGCTTGCCAAACAAAAAAAAGTTGCATACATAAATGGACATAGTTCCATTCCTGTAAAAACAAAAATAGTTTCAAGGTAAGTCTAAATTATTGTAAATTTTCTATTTGAAATTTTCTATTTGAAATCATACTTTTATTTTTATGGATATTTTTTTTCATCCTATAGGCAGAGGCCAGATTGGGATTTAAGGAAAGATAATATAAGAGAGATTGTTGATCCATTGCAAGCCATTGAGATGGTAGTGAACACACTTGGAATTTCCTGCAATTAAAACATGAAAGAGTTTATAATTTTGACAGTTTCAAAAAGAAATGGACTGGACTTGTGTATCGATGTACATATTGTGCATTTGTTTTATAAAGGTTGTTTACCTGTGTTTGAACACATCTGTCAATCAAACTAAACTTATTGATATTTACCTATTGAATTAATAAAATCTCAAGCATTACTTTTATAAGAAAAATATATACTAAATTTGTTATTTTATACAATAAAACGGAAAAACTGAGGTTAATGTAAAGTGTATTTCTTTTGCTTTAGAGAGAAATTTGAAACATATTAACAGCTTAATAACATAAAATGAGCATGTAAAATTTGTTTAAGGCTAAGCGGAAATTGTGAGAAATTGTATTCTAAAGAACTGAACAGGATTATTGAAAGATAACACCAGAATAAGATAATTAAACCTTTGATAGGATTACTTCCCCCCAAAATATTGAATTGTTTCCCCTTGCAACACATTAAAAAAATTTTTTTTTATATTTCGTTTTTACTTAATAAAATTATGTTCTGGTTTACAAATGGAAAGTAGCTTTTCTCATCCATAGAATTCTCACAGTTTTGCTTTACCACTATGAACCCTAAGTTTCCTATTGTTACTTCATGATTTCACAAAATATGATTACTAAATGGAAACATCAAAATTATGAAAAAAAAACTATCAGTAGTTGCAATTTATATTCAGTTCATCCCACACTCTTCAATTGCCACTTTTATTGTCATCTTTTGTATCTTCTTCCACTGATATATTTGGTGCCTACATATTCCTTTTTCTGTGGCTGGACCCATATTGTAAAACAAACTGTCTCTGGAGTTTAAGAAACCTCATTCCCCATAATTTAGTAACGGACTCAAAAGATTGGTTTATTAAGGCTTTTTAATTGTATCAGTTGCTCTGATTTTTACTGTTTTTAACACAAACATTTATCTATCTATCTATCTATCTATCTATCTATCTATCTATCTATCTATCCACATAGGCTGTTTATATAATGTGAGATATATGTGATCATAGCCTGATACATGATGTATTCATTATTAACATGGGAGAAGATGAAAATTTGTTCTATTGCCCAAACAGGAAGTGGCTATTGCTTCACTCAGATGAGAGAAAAAAGGCACAAGGATTTTGCAGATTTCATTGTAAGGCTTGATACATAGAAGTTGGTAGAATCCTAAATAATTTGATATAGAATAAGCTTTTGATTTTCCTTCAAACCACAAAAGATTTAAAAGTAATCCCTACATGTTTAAATGCCTTGGCCTGTTTGGAGGTAGTGTTATTGTCTGTCAATGTGTATGGCTAGCAAGGCTGTTAGTAAAAACTATTATTTTAAAAATAGTTGATCGCAAAGCTTCCTTTCGATAAAATGCATCAGCCTAAGGATTCGACCTATTATTTATTTTCTTCATCCTGGAGGAGCCTAGAATAGTTTACAACAGAAAAATAAAACATATTAAGGCTATTGTAATAAAACCAACACTCAATAATAGATACAAAAATAATGCAAATTTCATTTTATCAGAAACAGTAATAGGTAACAAAAGTTATGTTTATTTGTAATTATCTTGGTAAACATGATTTTACTTAATTTTTTTAAAAATATGTGAATGGGGAGGAGGCAGCCTTCAGAAATGTTCTATAATTGGAAAATGTTCTACTTGCAACTGCAGTAACAGTTGAACCATCTGAGATTATGAACAGGTCCAGCCCAGTTTATTGTACTTTACATTCATAAATTGTTTATGGGGCAATTGAATATCAATGTTTAACAATGAACTTGTACCATAGTATTTTTAGGAATAGTGCTGTCTAGTCCTGTTTAGCTTTCAGTTTAACAGTCTAGCAACCCCATCCTTCACTGGTTAAAGTATGCCACCTTGAATGATAGCCTGTATATAGTGGACTACAATAATCCCAAGTATGAGATTATTAAAGTATGAATCACTTCCGTGTTGGGGAAATACTGTTTAACAAAATGCAGATTATTATGTATAGTTATTTAAAAATTAGCCTAGAGCAGGGGTGGGCAAACTTTTTGACTCGGGGGCCTCTGACTTTTAAAATTTGACAGACGGGCCGGGTCAGCACAAGATACGATACATATAAAAAACTGCAAAATTTCCACAAAATCAAGTCACTGCGCCTAATGCGCCACCTGGTGTCAAAATGCCTGTCATTACAAGTCAAAATCAAATGAATTCAATCATTCACATCAAACCTTAATTCTGTACCAATCTTCGGCGGGCCGGATTAAAAAGACCAATGGGCCAGATGTGGCCCGCGGGCCGTAGTTTGCCCACCCCTGGCCTAGAGCTATCCAATCACATGAAAGACCTTTTAACAGATCACATAAGCATTACAGATTTTTTTCCACATTTGACTCAATCTGATGAATTAATGTTAAATTAATTATTATGAATTAGTAATTAAATATTTTCCCACACTTTTAATGTTACATTTGTAGAACTTGGAATAGTATATTGTGAAATATCCTAAAGGAGATACTGCCTTCCTACAATTTAGATGTAGATATACAAAATTTTATTTGGGGAATAAAGTTTCATAGTGAAAAGAACAGTTTATCTGTCAGACTTCATACAGCTGGCAAGGCCAAAGAACTAAAAATGATACGGATTTCAATAAAATATTTTATGCCAGTCTAGGAGTAAATACAGAAGAAAGTATAATAGGAATTTCCCAGATTGATTAAAGTGAGTTAATTAAGATTGAATCTGAGGCATTTTTGATTGAATCTGAAGCCTCAAATAGCCACTACCTAGACTGAGTAGCTGTTTAAGAAATCTTTCAACTTATCTTCTGAAACCTTCCATCCTGTCATGCTCTCCTATAAATTATTAACCGAACTGCCTTCAGAAATGGAGTAAACTAGCAAAAGTGGGATAATACAAACTTGCCAGGGAAGGAAAGCACTCGGCATGGGGTATAAAAAGTGGATGTTTTCAGTTCTATTAATATTTGCTGCAATAAAGAAACTTCTTGCTGAAGGTAAAAATCAAATATGTTGTGGTTAAAATGTGGTTATGTTAAATACGTTAAATATGTTGTGGTTAAAATGTTAAAATGTTGTGGTTAAGATGTCACACACTTTCAACAATTGTAAGGAAATAGAAACTGATATCCTAGGTTCAAAAGTGGCATGTGTATCATCCCCTTCTGATTACGTCTTTATTTTTAAGAATATATGTAAAGATGTATGATTGCATGCATCCCAAAAGGCTGAAAGTTGTGCTAGCACTCAAAGGATTTTGGATAACAATTTAATCTTAACCAAATTTTATGTGTGTGAGGGAAACATGGTAAATAGAAGATCACGTTTATCGGGATGTAACAGATCATTACATAATAAGCCTCATATTACAAACATGCATTTTAATTGCATTGTTTTATAAGATTTTTTAAAGAACTGGTGTTTAATCAATAGGTTCTACAACACTTTCCAGAATGTCTAGTTCTTATAAAGTGAGCAAACCTACATATATAGGAGATTTTTGTCAAAATTTGAGTCATGAAGTAGAAACAATGATGTATTTAACTGGATTCTTCTGAGCAGTCACTGATTACATATTTTAAAGACATGAGTTCCAGTCTTTTTTTACATTTGCCTACTGCCCTTGGTTGAAATGAAATGGGTTGAAGAGGGTATATTTTCCATTTCTTCCTGCTTGACTATTAATACATTTCTTCTAGACAAAGCTTGTGACTTCCCCAATATTGAAAATGGAAGAATTGCCATATATTATTATAGTTTTAAAAATTATTATTTTCCAATGAAGAAAGGTGAAAAGCTCTCATATACCTGCTTGGCTGGGTATTCAGCTGAAACTGGAAGTCAAAATGGAAGGGTAAACTGCACCAATGAAGGCTGGACACCAGTCCCCAAATGTTATAGTAAGTCCACACCCTTTTCTATCTAGTCTGGTTAGAAAAGAAATGTAGTATTCTTCATATTGTAAGAAAAATTGAATGTTATATATAGTATAGGATGAGCAATCTGTATATACAATTTGATAGTTAAGTAACTGACAAAAAAATCCCAGATTGCTGTCCTGTGACCATGGGATACTGCAACTGATTGCAAATGTGAGCTAGTTGCCAAGGACCTGAAATGTAATCAAATGACAGTATGAGTGGATATGGCAGGATGGGTCATAAAGTACCTTTTGTGAGAGTTTGTTGTAACTTTGAATAGTTAAATATCCAGTAATTAAGCAAGGATTATCTGTAGATTTATCAATCTATTAACATGGCTTCCTGATGTATAGGATTTGGTTAAGTGACTATGGGTCCTTTCTATAATATTCTTGCCATGTAAGAGTTTAACTTTTATGAACAAAGAAAAAAATATAACGTTTTTCTCATCTTTTTCTTTAACACGCTAGAGAAATGTGTCCAACCTACTTTGGATAATGGTGTTTTTTCTGATACAAAATTGTCTTATGACATCTGGGAAAGCTTAAAATATAGTTGCCATTCAGGCTACCAAACTCCAGAAGGCAAGAAGAATGCAAGTATACAGTGTCTTCAAGATGGATGGTCAGTTCAGCCACAGTGTATGGAAGCCACTAAAGAACCTTTAGGTAATACTAAACAACCCATGACCCATTGGGTCATTGTTTCAAATATATGTCCTTTAAAAAAATCTGAATGACCACAGGTGGGTAAAAAAATCAGTGAGACTTCCTGTTGTCTTCCCCATTGAGTTTCCTTATGGGAAGCTGGCAGTAAGCACTGGAAAACCTTCCTTCCTTCCTTCCTTCCTTCCTTCCTTCCTTCCTTCCTTCCT